ATCAATGCGCTGCAGTAATTATATCATGCTTAATAGGTTTTCTTAGGCACCACAGTGAAGCAAAGAGCCTAATTAAAAACCATTAAATGCTTTTATTAAATGGTGTCAAAAGTTATATTACTGAAGACACAGGTGTTTAATAAATAATACATTTTATTGTTAATAATAGTCATAATTATAAAGTTTTAAGCCGACCAGTGTAGTTAATCATTAATCTAACTCTAGATTGTGAAGCTTCTTTGCAACTTCCCCCATTCATTTGTATGCAGTGTTGGAGGTAAAGCATTTCAAGTAACGCAAGTTACGTAATCAGATTACTTTTTTCAAGTAACTAGTAAAGTAATGCATTACTTTTGAATTGACAAGAAAATATCTGACTTACTTTTTCAAGTAAGTAATGAAAGTTTTCCCATTTATTCACTGATACCTTTCCTGTCCCCATGTTAAAAGAAATCAGGAGTGAGGTGCAAAGGCCAAAAATATTACTTTTGGGCGTTTTATTATTAAATATAAATAAGCAAGCCCAGCTCAAGAGACAAAAAGTAATGAAAAAGTAAATGAATGCATTACTTTCCATAAAAAGTAATCAAGTAAAGCAATTAGTTATTTTATATGGAGTAATGCAATATTGTAATACATTACTTTCAAAAGTAACTTTCCTCAACACTGTTTGTATGTAATAGTAACTCATTATACATATTATAAATATTTATTATTAAATATGATATATTTTATATTAATGCACAATATTACAATACAGAAATAATAAATAAATACATATATTTAGACAAATATTAAAATAAAAACAATTAATTTAATGTATTATAATATATTAGAATTTAATATAGGCCTATTACACATATCACATATTATAATTTGACATAATGTAAGGATGATTTTGCATGTCTTATCATTTTGAAAAATGTATGCCCCAAATAAAAAGAAAAAAAAAAACGATTTGACTATTAATCAAATCTAAACATTCAATTCACTGGATCATCCAAAATTAGGCATGACCACATAAAACATACTCATTCTCATTTGAGAATTATAATAAATACCAGGGATATCAAAACTGATCTTAAGCAGCTGTGGTCACAGATTCATATGCAGTGCACTGTACCTCCACTGGACTGCTGGAGATTGATCCAGCGATGCCGTTCTCATTGGTAATGTTGTTTGAACTGTTGTTAGGTGAACTCGGACCAGAACCAGGAGCACTGCTGCATGCCGATTCTGAGTGAAAATGGACTTGATTTGTTCGGTGTCAGTCAAGAATGAACGGATGTTGGAGTCATGGCCTAGCAGTGCATGCAGGAGATTCTGCCAATAATGTTTGACATTTTCTATTTTCCCTATGAATAAAATGTGAACAATCCTCTCACCTGCCATGTCCAGAGATCGCTTCTTTGCAGTGCTGATCGGCCCATCCTTCCTCCGAAGCAGCGGGCTACTCCTGCGCTCCGTAACTTTCTGCTTCAGCCTGGATCGCAGCTTCAGGTTGGGCTCAGATGCTGATGAGAGATGGAACAGGAAATATAGTTAATACTGCAACACCGTTTTCAAATAACAGGATGCGTGTAGGATAGAGTTATGTGACATTAAAACCAAATAGACTACATTTACACTTAGGTTTTGCTCCAAAACCACCTTGCGGTCTACCTCCTACTTAGGCAGCTGCCTTTTAAGACAGCATCCTAAATAGAGTATAACTTTATACACATTGAACATAGACAGGAACTGTGTGTGTTATGCAAATAGTGAGCTAATAAGCATAAAATATATTGCACATAAAAATACTAGGTAAAATAATAAAAGCTTAATTAGAATAATATATATATCTAAAAAAAATACTTATCACTCTGGAATGTGTTATGAA